TGCAGCAGGCTCGGGCTGAGAAGGTGAGTTCACACGTGCCGACTCATCCTCCAACCCCTCCTCCGCAGCAGGACCAGCGCCTTGCTGCTCACCACCGCGACTGTGATCACTGGTCAGCTCTGACCCAGGGAGATCCTCAAGGTGCAGCTGAACCTCCTCCACTGCAGACCGCTCAATCTCCTGCAGACGCAAGCCAATCTGCACCTGCTGCTGCTGCTGCCAGTCCTTGTACATGACGTCCTCCACAAACTTGACGTCACGGCTGACCAGCGACTTCTTGCTCTTGGGGTCCCACATCAGCCACCCCTTCGAGTCAGGAGCCATCCCAAGATGGACAGCCCACACAGCAGCCACTTCCAGCTTGTGCCTCTGCTCCTTAGGCACCATCACAAGCCCCATGCAGCCCCACACCCGCAGCATGTCAATAGATGGCTTCTTCCCAAGCCAACGCTCGTACGGCACCCAATGCTTGTCGCCAACATGAGTCAAGACCCTGTTCTTGACCGTGATGACATGGCGAACGGCATCAGGCCAGAACTTGTAGGGCATCCCAGCAGCCCCCAACAAGGTCTTAGCCGCCTCGCCAATGGTCCGGTTGGCACGCTCATCAATGCCGTTCTGCTGCGGTGTTCCAGGGCAGGTCAGCTGATGTCGGATGCCATTTCTCTTGAGGAACTTGGTGAATTCCGCTCCAAGGAACTCTCCACCTCGGTCGCTCCTCAGCACCTTCACCAGCCGCATCGCTTGCCGCTCCACCATCGGCAACCAATCCTCCTTGATTGCCGCTGCAGCATCGCTCTTCTTGGACAAGGGACGCGCCCACGTGAAACGGCTCCATTCGTCCACCATGGTGAGGAAGTAGAGCACTCCCCCAGTCCCCTCAGTCCTCATAGGACCCACCAGGTCCATGTGCACCACCTCCAATGGTGCCTTCGCTGATCCCTCCGCTCGTGGGAACGGGAACCGCGCAAACTTGTTTTGCATGCACGCCTCGCAGCTGCCATAGTGAATGCCATCTCCTTGCAGTTGCAGCCCATGCACGCACTTCTCCTTGTGCATCACCTCCAATGTAGAAACAGCCACGTGTGCGAGCCGCCGATGCCAAGTCTCCCAATCCGCTTGGCCCGAGGTAGCCGACGCCTTCACCGCCGCACTTCCTCCAATCAGCTCCTCTCCTTGCACACCTTGCTGCTCCTCCTCGGTAACGCTCTCCTCCATAGATGCCGCCATTGCCGCCTTGCCCGATTTCCGCCAAGGGAGGACCGGGATCTGCCACATCCGCTTGTGGACATCCCCTTTCTACTGCAGGTCCCAAATCAGCCGCTCATCGTTGTAGGCACGATAGCGCTCCGAGCCAATCGTCTCGGTGTTCACACCCGCATCTCCCAACCGGCCGGTAGAAATCAGGTTCGCGCACAAGTCCGGCACCCACAGCACGTTCTTCAGCCCCACGAGCTCTCCATCCGCTCCCATGAACTTGGCGCATCCCATGCCCATGACCTTGGCCTTGGCGCCCGTCGCGGATGTGACTGTAGAGATGGGTGCGGGCTGAATCTCATCAAGTAGGTCCGCACGGGGAGTCATGTGCCAAGAGCTCCCGGAGTCAATCACCCAATGGGTGAGGGGGTGTAGGAGAACCTTGGCAGCCATAGCGTGGTCGGTTGCGCCTTCGTTCACGAAGAAGAAGAACCTGGCCTTCCGCTCCTCAGATTTGCCGCCTTTCTCCTCATCCTTCTCCTCTCCACTAGCTCCCATGACTCCCCCACTCCTCGTGCCACCACGCTGGTTGCTTGATGAAGGCGGGGTCCAATCCTTGGGTCGTTGGTAGCACTTCCGCCAACGATGTCCGCGCTTCTTGCAGTAGAAGCACACCTCCCCTTGACCCCCGCCGCCATCCTCCTTAGGGTTATCCTTATTCTTGCCCTTCCACTTCTTCTTGAAGCCACTCTTTCCACCTCCAACTCCATAGCCAGCCCCCTCCTCCGAGCGCTCCACACTCCGCCGCCGCAAGTCCTCCTCTAGGATGCGCGCGCGAATGTAATCCACACTCCATTGGGGTTGTTGGGAGTTGAGGTTGATCGCAAGGGCAGACCATGACTCCGACAGCCGTATCACGATCTCCACGCATTGCACGAGCTCCGGGTACACCACACCGCCTCCTTGGAGCTTCGTGAAGATGTCGCGCATCTCATCCAACACCGGTTGCATCGGCTCTCCATCAACGAACTTGATGTCGCGCAGCCGCCGCGCGAGTAGCACGATGCCGGTAGCATGTGTCGGTGAGTGCACATCCAGAAGCTTCCTCCAAGCCTTGGGACCACACTCTGGATCACCCAAGAGGTCCTTGATGTGGTCAAGTTGCCGTCCGCCCACCGCTTGCACCATGAGCATATACGCGTCGAACGATCGCTTCATCCACGCTCCTTTCAGCTCCGCGGCCTCCGGCATCTTCTCCTTCCCTTCCACCAAATCCAATAGCTTGTATTGGGTATACATCAGCCTCATGCGGAAACTCCAGTGCTCGTAGTCCTCCCCCATGAATTTCTCAATAGAGAAAGCTTTCATAGGATCCACGGTATTAGGAGATGGTGTAGAAGAAGTAGGTAGCGTAGGGTTGGCTGGTTGGTGAGTCCCCACTCCTCCACCAGCAACTCCCCCCAGTTCTCCAGCCTCTCTACTTCTATCCATCTCGCCACTAGCACCTCCGGAGTTCGTACCAACCATATTGAGGCCTTATGAACGGTGGAAACTTGAGAAATCGTTTGGAGAGAATTCTGCCAGAAATTTCGATTCTACGAAAATCGCCGTCGCGGACTGAATACTTCGAATTAGAACGCGACTCGACCAGCAATCGAAAGTTCGCAAGCCGAGCTACTAGAAAATGGTCTCACTCGACAACATTGGTTGAGTATTCACGACGATTCGCCGTCTCAAAGTTGACTACCCGCTCTGATACCACTTGTTGTTCAGGATCCGTCACTTTGAGAACTTACGACGAACTCATTACTCAACTAAACGCAAATCCGCTCGGTAGGATTGTGCGCCTTAGGCTTAGCTACCATCGCCAAGTTGAATCAGTCGTTAAGATGGTCTAGAGAGTGAGAACCATATAAAAACGTCCAGCAACCGCATGACTAGAATGGTGGAGGAAGTACAAACATTAGGGGATAGGAAGTTGGAGTTGGGAACCTACAAGAGAACCATGAGAGGGAAGGGGTTCTCCAAGAGCTAGAGAAGGATGGTAAGAACCTTCCTAGCAGCAAGGATGCAACCCTCATCATGAGGTCCTTGAGGTGTCACATGCAAAATCCAATCTAGTTGGATTTTGCCTAGGTGTTGCAACATTTGCAACCCATGCTAGAAACTTCTAGCCACCCCAATCCAAAAGTCAAAGTTGGCTTCCTAACCACCCAACCAAAGATCCCTTTATAGTCATGTCCCAAGTAATCACCCAAATTAGATATAACCCCAAAAGGTAATAAGAAATCCAAATCTTGGAAATCTTGTAACTTGGGCAATCTTGGTCGGAATAAGGCGATCTTGGTATCGTTGGAAAGCTCTGGATTTCTCCTGCATGATCAAGCATTTAAACTTGGAGAAAAACACAGAGATGATAATATCCAACAGCCATGCACAATGACATACGCTCATGCAAATCATGCAAGCACAAATAGCACGAGCACTCGGCAGGACGTTAGGATGACATGCACTCAGAATGACGTGCATCCAACAGTCCGCCGCGCGCCCCGTGGCGCGCGGCGCTGCATTTTCTTCCCGCCACGCGCTCCGAGCGCGTGGCGGCTTTTTCTGCCCGCCGCGCGCTCGGGGCGCGCGGCGGTTTTCCCGTCCATCGAAGCGCCCTCGGGGGGGCTTGCGCGCTGCCCTCCCCGCTGCCCGTCACGACGCCCGCGCGGGACCCGCGGGGCGTCGCCCCTACTCGTCGCGACGACCCTACGGGACCCGCGGGGCGTCGCCCCTGCTCGTCGCGACGTCCGTGCGGGACCCGCGGGGCGTCGCCCCTGCTCGTCGCGACGTCCGTGCGGGACCCGCGCGGCGCCGCCCTACTTGTCGCGACGTCCGTGCGGGACCTGCGGGGCGTCGCCCCTGCTCGTCGCGGCGTCCGTGCAGGACCCGCGGGGCGCCGCCAGAGCCTACAGCAGCGGCCGCCGCCACCCAGCAGCAGCAGCCGCCGCCAGGCCTGCAGCAGCTGCCGCCACCGCGCCTGCAGCAGCAGCAGCCGCCGCTCTGCAGCAGCGGCCGCCGCTCTACCAGCAGCAGCAGCCGCCGCCGCTCTGCAGCAGCAGCCGCCGTCGCCCAGCAGCAGCAGCTGCCGCCAGAGCCTGCAGCAGCAGCCCCTGGAACCGCCACCGCAGCAGCAGCCCCAGGAGCAGCCGCCCCAATAGCAGCAGCCCCTGCAACGGCCACCCCTGCAGCAGCAGCCGCCGCCAGAGCCTGCAGCAGCAGCCGCCGCCAGAGTCTGCAGCAGCAGCCGCCGCCAGAGCCTGCAGCAGCAGCCGCCGCTGAACCTGCAGCAGCAGCCGCCGCCAGGCCTGCTGCAGCTGCCGCCACCGAGCCTGCAGCAGCAGCCGCCGCCAGAGCCTGCGGCAGCAGCTGCCCCTGGTCCCTGGAGCAGCCGCCCGTGCAGGAGCCGCCCCTGGTCCCTGGAGCAGCAGCCCCTGCAGCAGCCGCCCCTGGACCCCAGAAGCCGCCCCTGGACCCGGTACGCTCTGTGCTGCCTGTGCCTGTTGCTGCTTGTGCTTGTGCTGCCTGTGCCTGTTGCTGCCCGTGCCTGTGCTGCCCTGTGCTGTCTGTGCCTGTTGCTGCCTGTGCCTGTGCTGCCCGTGCCTGTGCTGCCCGTGCCTGTGCTGCCCGTGCCTGTGCTGCCTGTGCCTGTTGCTGCCCGTGCCTTTGCTGCCCTGTGCTGCCCGTGCCTGTGCTGCTCGTGCCTGTGCTGCCCGTGCCTGTGCTGCCCGTGCCTGTGCTGCCCGTGCCTGTGCTGCATGTGCCTGTTGCTGCCCGTGCCTGTGCTGCCCTGTGCTGCCCGTGCCTGTGCTGCCCGTGCCTGTGCTGCCCGTGCCTGTGCTGCCTGTGCCTGTTGCTGCCCGTGCCTGTGCTGCCCGTGCCTGTGCTGCCTGTGCCTGTTGCTGCCCGTGCCTGTGCTGCCCTGTGCTGCCCGTGCCTGTGCTGCCCGTGCCTGTGCTGCCTGTGCCTGTGCTGCCTGTGCCTGTTGCTGCCCGTGCCTGTGCTGCCCTTTGCTGCCTGTGCCTGTGCTGCCCGTGCCTGTGCTGCCCGTGCCTGTACTGCCCGTGCTTGTACTGTCTGTGCCTGTTGCTGCCTGTGCCTGTGCTGCCCGTGCCTGTGCTGCCCGTGCCTGTGCTGCCCGTGCCTGTGCTGCCCGTGCCTGTGCTGCCCGTGCTTGTGCTGCCTGTGCCTGTTGCTGCCCGTGCTTGTGCTGCCCTGTGCTGCCTGTGCCTGTTGCTGCCTGTGCCTGTGCTGCCCGTGCCTGTGCTGCCCGTGCCTGTGCTGCCCGTGCCTATGCTGCCCGTGCCTGTGCTGCCCTGTGCCGCCCGTGCCTGTGCTGCTTGTGCCTGGTGCTGCTCGTGCCTCATGCTCGCGCCCTCGTGCGCACTGTTTCTGCTCTCTCCCCCCCCCCCCCCCCCGTTTGCGGGTATGGGGGTGGCTGGTGTGCATTCCTCCCTTTGCTCCTCCTTCTTCGTCTCCCACTGCTGCAGCTGTCGCTGAGGGGGGTGGTTGTGTGGGAGACTGGGGTTTAGGGCTTAAGGGGGGTGCGTGGGAGTGGAGCTAGCGGTGTAGCAGCGGGTGTGTGTCAGGGGGGTGGGACTGTTTGGGGAAGCTGCATGGAAGTTGCCGTACTGTAGTCCGCAGCACCTGTAGTCCGGGGCGCTGTCCCGGTAGCCCAGTGAGCTAGACTTCTACGCCAGCCGCCCGTGGGTCCGTTGCCCGTCTGCCGCTACTTGAGCCGCGGGGCCTGTTACTCCTGTAGTCCGGGCGCTGTCCGGTAGCCGCTGTGCCAGTCTGTTTCCTGTTGCCCGTGTGTCTGCAGCTTCAGCCGTCTCCTCCTATCTCCTCTCCCCTCACTCTCTCTCCTCCTCCTCACTTGCCCGTTGTGACTACCACTAGCTTTGCTCATAATTCTTAACTTTAAACTATTGCTTCTTTAACTTGTGCTAAGAATGTGTGGTGACATTGTGATCCACCCTGAGCTTGTACTGCTTTGCCTGCTCTGCTGATTACACCCCACTTTGGCTATGGGGGTGTGTCAGAATGTTATTTGTGTAGCCTGCAGTGGGGTGCTCAATACTGAGTACAACCCTTTAGGGTTTTCTATTTGTGTGTCCTGCTGCTTGCTAGTTTCATTCCTTCCTTCCAATTCTCCTTCCAAAACCCTAACTCCTAGTCTAGAGCAAACTCAACTACCTCCTAGTGTGGGCCTAGGCTACTAAGCCTAGGCCCCACACCTACTATTTTGACAGTTGTTGTTGTTGTTGTTGTTGTTGTTGTTGTTGTTGTTGTTGTTTTTTTTTTTTTTTTTTTTTTTTTTTTTTTTTTTTTTTTGTCTATTGTTTAACTGTGTTGGCAGGCTTGTCCCGCAGCTCTTGCAACAATTCGGGGAGGACCAGACGTCACAGTTCAATATCCCCAAGGTCCATGCAATGATGCATGTCGCGGCGGACGACATCCGACGCGGGGGAGTGCCCGTGCACTATTGCACAGATTTGTACGAGCATGTGCACATCGCACTTGTCAAGCGCCCGTACCGCGGGTCCAATAGACGGATTGCAGAGGCATCAATCACTCGACGGTGCTTGACGAGCAAGCTGGTTGAGTCGATGGCCGCGAATGACGTTTCGGTCGAGGACAAGGAAGCGCGGACAGTCGCCATGAAACAAGTAAGTGAAACAAGCGCCAATATTTTATCTAACATTTTTCCTGATAGTTGATGTGCTTGTGCGAACTGTCTTTTTCTGCTACATGTTAATTTTTGTGTGCTAAATGTCTTTTTGTGCCACCGAGTCTTTCATTCCATTCTGTTTTTTTGTTTGGTTCGTCTTTGCCTTGTTCTCACGCACGTCGTCACATCGTCCAATATGATTTCCTACATACGTTGTCAAACTTATACCATATAGCTTGTCTAGGCTATAGTGGGGTAGACACTATGGGGTACAGTTTCCTATGGTTTCCTACTTGTACCCAACCTTGTGCTAGTTCATTCATTCCTCATTCTTCACATGGTATAGAGCAGGTTCCCTCGTGGGAACGCTTCTCAGGGCCCACCAACTACCTTGATCTTTTTTTTCCTGCCCGAGGCGTGCCCCGTAGGCCGCCCTCAAGTCGCGCCCTCCTAGTGGCCCCTCGTGCCGTCCTTAGCGACCTTGTCGCCGCCGCTCTAGGCCCCTCGGGGCCCTTCACGGCCCCGTCGCCGCTGCTCTAGGCCCCGTTGCCGCCGCTCTAGGCCCCTCGCGGCCCCTTCACGGCCCCGTCGCCGCCGCTCTAGGCCCCGTCGCCGCCGCTCTAGGCCCCTCGCGGCCCCTTCACGGCCCCGTCGCCGCCGTTCTAGGCCCCGTCGCCGCCACTCTTGGCCCCTCACGGCCCCCCTCACGGCCCCATCGCAGCCGCTCTAGGCCCCATCGCCGCCCCTACAGGCCCCTCGCGACCCCTTCACGGCCCCGTCGCCGCCCCTAGCGGCCCCATCGCCGCCCCTCTAGGCCCCTCGCGGCCCCTTCGCGGCCCCGTCGCCGCCACTTGCGGCCCCGTCGCCGCCACTTGCGGCCCCGTCGCTGCCCCCTCTAGGCCCCTTACGGCCCCTTCGCGGCCTCGTCGCTGCCCCCTCTAGGCCCCTTGCGCCCCCCCCCTTTTGCGGCCCCGTCGCCGCCCCTAGCGGCTCCGTTGCCGCCTCCTTCGCGGCCACCTCGCCGCCCTTAGCGGCCCCATCGCCGCCCTTAGTGGCCCCATCGCCGCCTCTACCGGCCCCGTCGCCGCCTCTACCGGCCTCTTCACCGCTGAGCCGCCCAGTAGCTGAGCAGCCGAGCCGCCCAGCAGCCGAACCGCCCAGCAATCGAGCAGCCGAGCCGCCCAGCAACCGAGCCGCCCAGCAGCCGAGCCGCCCATCAACCGAGCCGCCGAGCCGCATCGCAGCCGAGCCGCCGAGCCGCCCTGCCGTCGAGCCACTACTGTCACAGGATCGAATTCTCAATCGAAACTTGTCACTAAAACTGAATACAAGGCCTATTTATACTCGGAAAGTACAAGGATAAACGAGATAAAACGAACCTTCGGGAACACACCCTTCCCGATACTACAATCACAAGTGCGCATAAGCAGGCAAGTCTATTGGCACTTGGGATTACGCCCAGATTACACCGTATACACCACTGTCGGCGCTGACGGTGCCGTATAATAGGTATGTCGGTGGGAAAAGTAGGAAATAAGAGAAATAAATAGAAGGCTCTAGAAAATAGAATAGTAGGCCGATTGAGATGAGATAAAGACCAAAATAAAGAGGAGAAAAGGGAGAATGGGATAACGGAAAAATGTAATAGTGAGAAAATATTATAACGGGGACGTCCTCTCACACTTCCCCCCCTCAAAGCTGGGTGGTAGAAGTAACACCGTGCTTGACAAGGTAGTCCTGTAGAGGACGGCGGGCGTTATCCATGTCGTGTTCAGGTACCCAGGTATCCTCGGAAGGATCATAGCCTTTCCAACGAATCAAGAGCTCCAAGGTGCCGCTACGTCGTCGTCGGTGCGCCAGATAGGCTTCGACTTCGTACTCGGGTTCCCCATTAACGATCACTGGCAGTGGCGGCGGCGGCTGGCGACCTTTGAAGACCGTGTTTGGGTCCCGATAGGGCTTGAGAAGTTGAACATGGAAGGCATTGTGAATTCTCCAGGTAGCTGGTAAACGCAAGCGGAAGGTTACTGGAGTGACCTGCGCCTCGACGAGAAAAGGTCCGCAGAAGCGAGGTCGGAGCTTAGACGGAAGATGGCTAATGTCGAGATTGCGTGTATCCAGAAGCACCTGATCGCCAATCTGGATGGAATGATCGTTGCGACTCCGATCAGCGAGCTTCTTTTGTTGCTGCTGGATAGTCAGAAGACGTTTATGCGTGCGATGTCTTGATCCCAATGTAGAAGATGGCGCTTTTCTGCTACAGAGACTTCGGGGTCGATGGTGTATCCATGCGTGAAGAGTCCCTTCAAAAGTGGGTTCATGCCATCGATTTGTAAGGCGGCAACGTGTGCAGGGCGACTCAGTGCGTCTGCCTTGTTCTTGTGCCCCGGCTTATACACGATGTCGTAATGGAAGTGGGTTTCGAGAAAGTCAATCCACCAGACCTGCCGCCTGGAAAGTGTTGGTTGGGTCTTCAGGTACTTGAGGGTGCAGTGGTCGGTGTAGACAGTCGTTTTTCTTCCTTCGAGATAACACCTCTATGCCTTAAATGCGTTGACGATGGCGAGGGCCTCTTTGTCATGGATGGGGTAATTGAGTTCTGCCCCGTGAAGTTTTTTACTGAGGTATGCAATGGGTTGCAGTCCCTTCCCTTGATCCTGCATGAGTACTGCGCCCTCTGCTTGATCGCTAGCATCGGCCTCGATGACATAGTCAAGTTCAGTGTCTGGCAGGATAAGAACAAGTGCGGACGTGAGTGCGGTTTTAAGTTGTTCCACGGCTTCCTGGTGCTTCGCCTCCCATTGATATGGTGTATTCTTCTTCAACAGGTTCGTTAATGGTGCGGCAATCTTGGCGTAGTTCGGTACGAACCGGTTGTAGTAGTTGGCGAATCCAAGGAACTGTTGTAACTCCTTCACGTTCTCAGGGGTCTTCCACGTTCGCACTGCTTCGATCTTCTTAGGATCCACGTGAACTCCTTGAGCGCTCACCATATGTCCAAGGAACTGGACTTTTTTCAACGCAAACTCGCTCTTGGATAGTTTCACGTAGAAGCGTTCTCATCGAAGAATTTCAAACACCCGTCGTAGATGCTCAACGTGCTGCTTCATATCTTTCGAGTAGATCAGGATATCGTCCAAATATACCACAACACACTCGTCCAGAAGGGGCCGAAGGATGTGGTTCATTTCCGCCTGAAATGTGGCTGGTGCGTTAGTGAGTCCGAATGGCATCACGAGATACTCGTATGACCCGTACCGAGTTCGAAAAGCGGTTTTGTGGATAGAGTTGTCCGCCATACGAATTTGCCAGTATCCCGATCTGAGGTCGAGCTTGGAGAATACCGTAGCACCGCGAAGTTGATCGAGTAAGTCGTCGATCCGTGGTATCGGGTATTTATTTTTTACACTCTGCTTGTTCAAGGCTCGGTAGTCGATGCACATTCGCAGATTTCCGTCTGGCTTCGGAGTGAAGAGAACTGGAGCTCCGTACGGCGAAGTCGAAGGTCGAATCAGCCCTTTCTCCAGGAGATACTCTATTTGTTTTTTCATATCGGCAAGCTCTGTCGGGCTCAGCCGGTATGGTGCTCGAAATGTTGGCTTGGACCCCGGCTCTTCTACGATCTCGTGTTGATGTGTCCGGTATGGCGGTAGTTGATCAGGTAAATCGTCGGGGAGAACGTCCTGGAACTCTTCAAGAATTTTCTTGACTGCTGGAGGAAGTTCCTGGGTCTGCTTCTCTCCGTTGTCTGCCTCGTTGACTATCGCCATGAATCCCGCCGTGGTCCGTTTGACGTCCTTTTCAAAGCGTGCGAGTGTCTCGACTGGAATATTTCCCGTGTCGTCCCATTTGGGAAGGCTGATTTTCCTCCCGTTGTTGTTGATGTTGGCCGTCTGGTTAACCCAGTTGATCTTGGGGTTGAACTTTTTAAGAAAGTCTCTCCCGAAGATTACGTCGAGTCCTTTGATATTTGTGACGGGGAGAGCAGGCTTCCATCGAAGGGGTCCAATCTGGAGTAGCAACCGTGTTTTTCCGTAGATAGGTAGCTTACTGCCATCCACCATCGTTGCAGAGAAGCTTGAGGACTTGATGTCACCTCCGAGTCGATCGATTGCCTTTTTGTCATAGACGCTGTGCGACGCCCCGCTGTCCACGAGTGCTTGGAGGCGCTGTCCGTTGCAGATCACCTCGAGCAGGAGTGGTGAGCGTTGCTCGGAGTACCCAAAAATAGTCTCATTCATAGGATCATAGGGTACATCCCAATATTCAGTACACACCGTGGTTTCACTGCTTTCTTCTGGACAACTAGCTGGCCTGGGCTGCGTGGAGAAAGGCTCTTCTCCAATGCCAGGAGTAGAGGTAGTAACCGTACAAGTTGACCCTGAAGGGGTGGATCCGGTCGACGCCTGCGATCCTCTGGATGCATCCTTGAGGGGTTTTTGGAGTTTCTGCAGCTTCTTTTGAACTCCCAGCTGCCTCTTCAGCTGCTTCAGCTCCATAGACTTCTTCCCTGGGGAGTGGAGAGTCGTCTTGGGCTGGTTCCGGGAGAGGACGTTGACGCCGTGAAAAGGTCTACTCCTTTCCACACTCCTTAATTTTTTCCCCAGCTCCGTAGGCACCGGTACTACTTCTTTAATTGTCTGCTTCCTCTGGAGTTCTTCCCAGAATTTGTTTATGGCTCCGGACCCGCGAAAAACGCCAGTCTTCATTAAAGCATCTTTGAAAGATAACTTTAACGAATTCTGTTTTTTCCCGGGGTCGAATTGGAGAGTTCCCGTCTTGGTCGAGTCTGTTTTCGCGGAGGTTTTTGCGGAGATAACTACTACAACGGGAGCTTAGAGTACTGGCTAGGCACGTGTGCTCGTGTGATGTCTGCGTTCGTTAGTCCTTAGACGTTTTCCTAGTGCTCACACTGCTTGCTAGTTCACGGGGCAGTTTGGCAAGAGTTTCACTAGAGAAAGTTGTCAATAATGGTACAATGAAGTTGGCAATGCAAGACTACATCAGAGCTAGCATTCAGGTTGGTCGACTGCCAGCACTGCATGGTCGACCACGTTCCAGCACGACTTGGTCGACCACGCTACAGCAGTGCAAAGTCGACAGCTTGCCAACGCTGCAGGTTGACGGTGTGCCAGCATTGCTCACGCAGGACAGCAGTGCACCCGCTTTGCAGGTGCGCGCAGATGATTGGCATGCAAAGTCTCGTCACCTGCACAGCGCACACACCACGTCAACCTCGGGCTAGCGACTGCCTCTGATCCGCCACGACGACCTCGGGATACCACCATGGAGGTCGGTCTCGCCAACTTCGCCTGGGTGACCGTCGCACTCCTTCGCAGAACCTCGTCACCCAGGTATCCTGGTCGACCGGGCAACTATGTCGACCAGCTGCTCCTGTATGTGCTCGTCGACCTCCCAAGTCGACAACCACACCAGGTCGACCTCACCAGGTCGACCACTCCTCCGGTCGACCAGATCCAGGTCGACGTCACTCCTGGTCGACCAGTGCAGTTGTCAGCTACCCAAGTCAGCGTCACCAGGTCGACGCCCCTTCTACGTCGGCGCCGACTTCCAGACTGACCTCTTGAAGTTGGCGACCTCCCAAGTCGGTGACCTTGCAAGTCGGTGACCTTGCAAGTCGGTGACCTTGCAAGTCGGTGACCTTGCAAGTCGGTGACCTTGCAAGTCGGTGACCTTGCAAGTCGGCGCCGACTTCCAGGTCGACGTGCCACATCGCCGACCACCAGTTGAAGTCGGCCGCTGGCTTCCCAAGTCGGCGGTATTGCAGTGGCGCCGTGCAAGTCGACCAACCCCGTCGACCAGCTCGTCCAAGTCGGCGTCGCCCACTGCTGCAAGTCGGCTGTACCTTCCGTACACCCCACCACGAAGTCGGCTCCGCCCAAGCGTGGACGGGGCCAACACACAACTCCCGTTGACACTCCCCTGCCGCGTTCACGCTTGGCCCCCCCAAGTTCACTCGGCAGTACTCCTCGGAGAATAGCTCGTCGACGTGCACCCAACACACAGCACGTCGTCCACCGCACCAGCCATGCAAGAGGGCATGGCACCTACTGCTGCACGTTGTCATCTTCGTTGCCCACGTCGGCCAAGCGCACCTGGTCGATGGC